TTATGTTTAACTTTTGAAACACTGCTGGACTGCTTTCAAAGAGGCTATATACCATTTTACCTTCCCACCACATTCTGCATTCTCCACATGTCCACATCCATTTGATTTTAATCACATTATGCTCTGTCTCCCAAGTAGACATATATGTTCTTCAAGGGTGTGAATGTGTCTAATTCAGTTTTGTTTCTTGTATACCTAACATAATGCTTTTCATGTATCAGGAACTCATGAATGAATGATGGAACTCATGAATAACTGAATGAATGAATCAGTAAATGAAATGGCACTTACTGAATTGACGTGGATCTGCATATACTTCCTATTACTGAGGATTTATATATTTTTTTAAGAGGTGTGCTTTTACAGGTATTTCATTTTTTATTCCAGCTGTGATCTCATCTAGACTTTAGGTCCTAGCTTGTATTACAAATATATTGAGCTTAATTCAGATGCAGTCTATGTAGTAATTGGGGTTAATTTTCCACCTACACCATTGCAGTTTTTCTCTTTTGCTGAGGCCAATTTGATCTGCTCTTCTCTCTGCCCCATACAGCACAGTGTTATGTGTAAACCTAATGAAGTTTTTTTCATCTTTGAGGGAACTACTACCTCTTGATTTTATCTCTGCCCAACCCTGTTCCTCCCACACACGGTTTTTGCCCTTTTCAGGAATGATGATTCTGCTCTTCCAGAAGCTCAGGCCTAAAACCTGAACTGTTCCTTACTCTCTTTCTCTCATATAATGAATGCTTTCACCTCCAACTTGTAACTACATCTAAAATCCAATCACTTCTCACTACCTCCCCTGCCTGCACCCTGGTCTAAGTCCCATCTCATCTTGCCTGGGGAATCAAACAGCTACTTCCTATTGCTCTGGAATGCTTTCCCCCGATACACACATGGTTCATTCTCTCACCTCCTGCAGGTCTTTACTCAAATGTTGCTCTGTTGAAGTCTTCCCTGATCTCCCTAAAAAACCTTTCTGTGCCAGAGTGTCCTTATCTACCTTTACTTCATTTCCCCTGTAATATTTATCAACATCTAACATATTCTGTATTTTAATCTTTTTTGCTTTGCTCTCTCCCTTAGAATATGTCCCAAGAACAGAGACTTTGTTTTGGTAACTGCTCTGTAGTGAAGTGACTGGCAAATAGTAAGGCCTCGGAAATGATGTTCATAAGTAAATGAGCAAGTGCCAGGCACAGAATCATTCCCTCGGATAACTTTTTATTCAGGTAACTTTAATATGTGAAAGGGCACAAAGCCCCGGGGTCCTCCAGTGTATGACACCCACTCGGTGTGTGATTTCCCCCCAACTTTATATTCTCCACCATATTCACCTTCCACTGCCTCAGCTTCTCAGCCTTCCTTCTAACACCATGTGTTGTATATTTGGATAGTGTCTATATCATGGAAAGACCCTCGTATTTGAAATCAAATCTGAGTTTGAGTACCAAACTGCAAGGAAGGATGGGTTTGATGAGAGATGCAGAGATAGTTTTTGACTGTTAAATATTACCCCTACGTGAGATGATTACTGTATTTTGAAGGGCTTAGGCTAAAGGGGAAGATGGATGGGACTGTTAAGTCTTGTAAAGGTGTATGTATTCGTAGCTGCTAATGTTGACTGAGCATTTGTGTCAGGTTCTGTGTTCAGCACTTTCCATGGACTAGCACACAATCTTCTCAGTAACACTTTCAGGTGGATAGTTTGATAACTTTCATTCTTCTGTTAAAAACTGAGTCTTGAACAGATGAAGTAGTCCACCCAATCCATAAGCTCTTTTATAAACTTTCATGAATATAAAGAAAGTTAAGTGTTAAAGCAAAAAAGATCAGTTTCATGGGGTGCCAAGACATGATTTTAGTCATTCATTTGTTAAAAATTTACTCAATCCTTATTTTTTAGTACTGGAGTTAGTCAGAAGTGGGATGAGATGTCTTTCCTCTTAAAGCTTGTATTCTAATACTGTTTTCAGAAGAAAGGCAACAAGAGATAATTTTAGGTATTGATACTTGCTCTGAATAAAATTACAAAGAGGGTTTTAATATTGGGATAGAGAATGACTGATTTAGGTAGCTGACTCAGTAATGTCTTTGAAGAGATGATGTTGAGCCAAAACCTGAATAACGTAAAGGACAGCAGAGGACAGAAAGGATGAATCCTGAGGTTGGCATTTACAGGAATAGAAAGAAAGCCAGTCTGGAGCATAGTCAGTGTAAGAGAGTGGAAAAATGAGGTGGGAGGGGTAAGAAGGGCCCAGATCTTACGGGCTGTGATAAGGAGTTTGTCTTTATTCTATGTGAAATGGAAATCCAGTGGAGCATCTTAGCAAGGGAATGATAGTATCTGGTTTTAGGATAAGCCCAGCTACCATGTAAGATCGGAGCAGATGCAGGGAGATTTGCTTGGCTCTGGTTGCTTCTGTGGTATCCCTTACAACTATTGAAAAGATGGCTTATGAACTTTCTGATTTGCTAACACAAGAGCTTTTATGCTAAGAAACGTGAAGGTATGAGCCCCTTAATCAGCATAGGGTCTGTATCTCCAGATTCCTGTAATCATCTCTTAAAGCCCACTCTCAGCCCCCAGCCCCAGGGCAGTGGAGGGCTATGGTTGTTTGATGAGAAGTGAAGCTACAAAAGACAACACGACTGACTCTCACACAAGTGGCGGGGAAAGTTTTCCCAATGTGAGCAGTGTAATGAAAGCAGTAATTGCTTGAGGCATTTGAGTTTCAGGAATGAACTAGAGTTGCATGTTTCTAAAAGTTTCAAATTTTAATGACTTAGCTAAAAGGCTATAGTATGACACCACTACATTTTTTAATTGCACTTGAGCCCTTAAAAACTGAATACTCTCAAGTCAGGACAGCATGGGCATGAGTGAGGGATAAAGGTTTCACCTCCTTCTATTTCTATGACAGGGTCTGTAGTTAAGAGGAGGTTTGTTCACAGCAACCAGGGATCCTGCTGGTCTTCTCATCCTGTCCCCCCTGCTGGTGGCAGTGTAACCAAGGCGAATACTGACATCTGTTTTCTGAGAGTCCTGTTCATACCAACTGTCACTCACCTTGACATGCACTTCTCATTAGCTTGTATTTTGCCCTCTTCTCTCTACCCTTTCCTAGTTACCCCTTGGCCTTGAAATGACTTCTGCAAGACTTTGCAGTCTCCCTAATGGTTCTTTATGTAACTGGCCCAAAGTGTGTGTTAAGAGGGGCTGCCTTCCTAGCACCCATATGGGGGCATCTTAAGGGCTTTCTGTGTAGTTCGTGAGCTGCTTAGAAACTAATTCTGTCTAAATAGGGACATATGTGGTTTAGAAATATTGTTTATCCCATTAGTACCATCAATCATATATGAATTATGTAGTAATTTTTAAGAAAAATGATGATGAGATATGTGCACCTAGTTATAATTACCAATGTCGCTACATGGCTGCCTAGAACTACTTTCTTAAAATTTTACTTTGATGTAGATGTCAAAAGACATATAAAAATCAACTGAAACTTATCCCATCCTCAGGGAGCTAAATCTAATTGTGAAGTCAGATATATGTAATTGTCACACTGGCCTCTGACCACTCTTACTTTCTTATTCATCATTGTGAAGTATTATTATTATTTTTTTCATTAAAACTGAATTTATTCGACTTAAATAATTATTCATTATTCTAAGATTATGTTCTTCCTACTTTTTAGTGCTAAAAAGTCTTTCCTATAAGAATGTTAATAGCAGATGGTAATTTGGGTTTTCCTGTTTTTGTTTTATATCCTTAGCTGCAAAATTAGAAGCTAGAAACACTTCAACATTCCAATTAAAAATTCTTTTTTTTTTTTGCAAATTTACTGGTGCTTAAACCTAGAGCCTAGGAACCACAGCCTAGGTAAAGACCTACTTTCTGTGTTACATGTTTAACAACATTGAATTATTTCTTGGTGAGTTCCCTAAACAATATATAGCAGGATAAAAGCAAGTCTTAATTTACATTAAGCCAGTATAAAAATGGCCTTAATTGCAAGCACCAAAGAAGTGTCTTCAACCACCAAAGAAATATGTTTTCAACCATCACTATGTATATATCATCTTTTATATCATATTTTGTCCTTTTATACCTTTCTTCTTATTAAAACTAATTGTATTGTTATCCACAGGGCACTGTCTTAAAAGTATACTACTACTTAGCTGATACCATTACTGCTCTAGGGGCAGCCTGTTGTCACAGATGTGAGCAGTATTCATGCAGTGCAGAAACAAAGGTGGCTGAGGTACAAGCAGGCCACTTTCTTGGGTCAGCGTTTTAGTGGTACCACAGGTGGCTGCCCATCTCAATGCATATTTTGCCCATTTATCTTTATAAATCATATTAAAACTTTCAGTATTTACATACATTTAAACTGAGAATATGTATTTGAGGAAAGCATATTTTAGTGGGCTTCATGTGTCAAAAAAACCTCAATTTCCATATATTATTTTTACATCATTAGCTACCTTTGAGTATATAAATGCACAAACTGGAATATACTTTTAGAAAAACTGACAGAGAGCTATGCAAATTGCAAATTGCAGTGTGTCCTCCCATAAGTGAATCAATTCATCTCTACTCCCTTGAAGTGGTAAAAACAAAGAAGACTAGCTGGCCATTACTTTTTAAAGTATGCTTCAGATTAAATACAAAATAATCATCATTGGCATTTTGGGCCAGATGAAAACTGTTGAGTGTTATGTGTGACTCTACCATGATTTGCTATAATGGTTTTCCTTCCATTACACTGTCCCCACTAATATTAGTTCTCTATCCATTTAATATGACCGTTTGTGTTAAACTTCAAAATAACTCCTGGGAATATCTAGAATTTATATCAGGAACTTCTGAAAGCGCTTCTGCTTTCCTCCCAGTTATGACACCATTTAACCTTATTAGTAACATTAAAACGGCAACTGAAGGTTTTTGAGATGGGTGGGTGCCTTGCAATAAACACGCACAGGCTGAAGCATCTGGCCAAGTTACTCTATGCAGTGATCAATGCTTAGTTCTTCTTGGTTTTCTTCAGATAGCGAGCTTGCATGGACTTGCCTACAATCATGCTCACTTTAAGATATATCCAAGAAGGTAGGATTGAAGATACTGCACCCATAAGAAATGGACCAGGTATCCATTGGTGCGGGATTGCATGCCCACTGTTTTAATTGCAGATTTCACAAATGTCTCTGACAAGGGTTTATCCAAAGTTGGCTTTCGGATTTTAGCCAGTTTTGTGGCTACGAAGTATGGCAGGACACTCTGCACAAAGATGCCCTTTCTCTTATATTCTTCATGGAGGTACTGAGAGAAGAAATCTACAAAAGCCTTGGTTGCCAAGTACATGGTCATCAGTGGGACTGGATACATACCACTGCCAGAGGAGATGTTCAGAATCGCCCCTTTTGACCTTTCTACCATGCCAGGCAGCACTAACTGTGTCATCTTATAAACAGAAAGAACATTAACATTTATCAGTTTCTTGATGGTATTGTCCAAGTCAGGAATATCCAAGAAGTATTCTGGATATTCATATGACATTCCAACGTTGTTTACTAAAACACCAATCTTAAGACCTGCCAAGTTTGTTTTAATTTTGTCATAAATATCTTCTGATGCGAAGTGAACAGTAATGGTCTTTGTTTCCACTTTGAATTTTTCTCTTATTTCACTGGAAACCTGGTTCAGTTTATCCTGTGATCTGCTGATAAGGACAACCTTCAGTCCACACTTTGCTAACTGTTCTGCATATGATTTTCCAATTCCATCAGTACTACCTTTGACAACTGCCCATTCACCGAGCCCCGGCCCTACCCTTGCCTCGTGACCCAAACCCCAGACCCGAAGGGCCGTCAAGAGTGAGCACGAGATGCACAGGGCCAGGTAAGCCATGGTGCCCGCGCCCACCCAGTACAGGAAGCCGGCAGCAGGTAGAGCGCTTTCCATGGCTTTCAACCGCGGGTATACCGACGTGAATGAAAAACACAAAATTTTTTGTGAAGTATTATTAAGAAAAAGGAAAAACAGTCTTAAAATCCCGGGTTTTTTTTTTTATAGGATACATGACTCCCCTACCATGATCAGATACATATGGACAAATAGCTCACATGAGACAGAAATTGTAAAAGTGCTAAAACAAAGGCCCTGAGAAAGTTCTAGCGATCTTCAGAGGAGGTAGAGAGAGTGGATCAGTTTTGCAAGGCTTCCTGAGGGGTGTGATCTCTACTAGACTTCAGTCAGTGGAGATGGGGGATGGAAAGTAGGCAAGATTAGACTGTGTGATTGTCCAGAGTCTCTAGTGGCTGGAGAATCCAAAGATCTTACCGAATTAGGTTAATTTCAATATTGATTGGTTGCCTTTCTGTTTCTCCATTCTAGCTATGTACCTCTAAAACTAAGATCAATGTTAAAGTTATCTCATCTCTTACATACTTGCATGTAATAGCATAAAAATAAGCATACATAACCAAGATCCAAGCAAAACTTCTTGTTACTGGCCAAAGTTAGTAGGTAACTAACACCTAACTTGATGTTGTAAATTCTAAAATAGCGATTCTTAACTACCAGAAGCCCATGTCCCTTTAGGAAACGATCGGGGAAGTTCATGCTCAAAATGTGGTAGTGGTAAAATGTCCATGTGTTGAACTTTTAAAATCTGCTCTCAGGTGGGAATGCTAGAAATCCCGAAGTTAAGTTTTTATTTCTGTATGTGGTGCATCCTGTGCATTGCCTCGTTTAGTCTGCTCATGGTACAGGAAGAAAATGCTCTTCACATCATGGTGTTTTTACTGAGTGGGAAAATGAGATAGAGAGGGATGAGTTGCTTGTTCATGACTACATGGCCCATGCTCTTAGCGGTTATACTAATTACGTCTTTATAAAAGGATGTTAACAAAATTCCTCACCAATGTACAGCCACCCAGCTTTAAACCTTCCATCAAGTTCTCTTCCGATCTTGAGCAGGTTCCACATGCCAGGCTGCTGAGGATCCATCCCTCTTTTACACATGAGGTTCTTGGGAGTGTGAACTGCTTGCCAAGTGCCAGGAATGACATTTGTTTTTTATATTGACATGTCTAGTTTACATCATTATTGAATAGCTGATAAGAAAAGGATTAGAAAAAAGGAAAATGTTAAAATAAGTTGTATAATCACATACAAGTCCTTCATTTATATGTAAAGTTTAGAATCAAACAAAATAAATGTTCCATTTACCAATCACATTTACCATTGACTCAAAATAAGTCTGTCATGAGATAGGACTGAATAAGTAGAGAGTCCAAAAACCATCATTCTTGAAACATCTGTGTAGAACACAGAGTTGCGTTCCTACAGGAGAAATGCCAAATGAACAAGCCTAGGCCAGGCTTATTTGGAAAACCTATTTGGAGAACCATGAAAGTGTGAACTTGATCATGTGCAAAGCCTGGGACTGTTCAGCCTTCTGTGGCAGTTCTGTGAGTTCTAGTACCATGCTATTAATAGAGAGTCGAGCACAAGTGTGCTGCTCCATTTTTTTTTTAATTACATGGATCGTATTTACAAAGGACCCTGTCCTCTAGCAAGAGGTTATCAGGTTACAGAGTCATTGGTTTCTATTTTATATCCTCTTATTCCAAACTTATATCCATGTGTAATGTTAGCATTCTTTATTTAAAAAAATTAGTCCAATTTTCCATTTTGATTGTCAATCACAAAGTTAAAAAAAGTCCTAGAAATCAAAACAAATGTACCCAAGAATCTTCCAGAACATAATAGTTCCAGAATATATTTGTTCAGTGATGTTGGGAGTTCATAGATTTTTAGACTGTCAGAGATCAAATATATGGGTTGCCTTTGCTTTTCTAAGAAGCCAGACTGCCCATTTGTGAGAAATTCAAGTCCAGAGAATGACTGCCCAAGGCCTTATAGCACAGGTACTACTTTAGAACAATTCTTAAACCTCTAAATTTGGGTGATTGAGGATGATTCTATGTTTATATTGATAGGTACTTTCATTGCCTTTGATACACACAGTAGGCCTTTTAATGCAATACATTTTCATATTCATTGTGTCATATGCTTCTTAAAAGAGAATGTGGAGGTGAACAGAGAATGATTAATTATCCTTCTTTACAGATGACCACAAAATTTCAGAGAAATCAAGTTGCCCAGTAGTGCACACTATATATATGTATATATATATATTGTAGAATCCTTGTTCCTGGTCTATAAAATCCATAGCAGGAAACATATGAAACTAAACAAAATTGCAGTTCCCAACTTTTCTCCGGTTTACAGAATGCCCCTTGTAGTTACTTAACATTTAAATAGAAAAACAGGAAATTCGTTCAACAGGACATGGAATTAAAGGCTCCCGTGGGGCCGGTATCTAGGTATGCTTTACTGTTCTATCTGAGAAGACTGCAGATATTGATCCTATGGATGTTGAGGTTATGTAAACTTCAGAAACCAAATAAACATTTTGATTAAATGATTCAGTTCTGGTACTATAAATAAATGACTGTTCAAGATGGAAAGTGTACAGAAGTATGTATAAAAAGTAATGACCTCTGGCAAAATGTCGTTGACCTCGGCTACTATAGTTAATACCCTCATCAGTGAATAGTGAGGTTTTGTGTGTGTGTGTGTGTGTTGAGATATATTCAGATTTTGTGGGACCTAAAGCTTTGAAGCTTATAACTTTGTGGAGACTTCTTTAAAAAAAAATGCAGTTATAATTAGAAAATTATTGTATTTGCTGGGCTGCCATAACGAAGCTCTACAGACTGGATGGCTTTATTTTCTTGTATTTCTTGAGGCTAGAATTCTGAGATCAAGGTGTTAGCAAGGTTGCTTCTCCTGAGGCCCCTTTCCTCAGCTTGTCTTCTCTTTGTGCCTTCACGTGGTCTCTCCTCTGCATGTGTCTATGCCCTGATCTCTTATGAGGACATCGGTCATATTGAATCTGGCCCAACCAAATGATGCCATTTTAAATTTAATTGTCCCTACCTCCAAATACAGTCACTTTCTGAGGTACAAGGGGTTAGCAGTATAATGCATGAATTGTGGAGGGGGCATAATTTATCCTATTACAATTACATAAGAAAATGAATATGTATTATGAATCAGAAAAACAAATGCAACACATTTTAAAATGATAAAAAGCTGTGATTTTATTAAATGACTTTTTCTTATGTTTTGTAGCTGCATGCTCTCTAGTCACATCTCCATGCAACCTAACTTTGTAATATTTTCTGTATGGAGAATGGAAAGATAATTTCAGGCTTTTCTCTAAGTATGATTGATAGAAATCATTATTATTAAAAGTTTGGGAAGCCTCCTTTAATCTACACATTTTTTTTATTGGTAATGTAAAACTTGAGACAGTTGTCAAATTGGGGAAACTGTTATCAAGTTTATTTTATTTGTAAGCTGTTAAAAAATGTCTGTATTATTCTTATAAGTTCGTTCATACACTGAGAAATTCTATTTTGTGAAATTTACATCAAAAAAGAAAATCAAGTCAGTGGTGCATTTTACAGTTGTTTCCAGTGAATTGTTTGACAATCCTGATAAGAAAAGCATTTCCTTTTGCATCATTGAGTACTGGATAGTCCTTCCAGAATATTTGTAAATCTGATGATTTATAGAATATTTGGCTGACTTACCTTTTGGCTCCATACATTTCACATCCTGCTTCTCTCCTCTACCAGCATACACCACACATACTGCATGCTGTGGGAAACATTCATGTCACAGGATTTCTGATCCCATACCTGTGAATACCAGAGCCAGGGGAGTAGTGGGACAAGGGACATTTAATATATTTCAGGAAGTCATTCCTACACAGTGGTAAGTGGGGATAGTGACAGCAAACTGCATAAATGTATCCCACCATACTCAACTGAATGTATCCTCAACTCCATGTCCCCTACCCAAATCCCACAATTCCAGAGACCATTTCAACACTGTCCCACAAGAGTGATGACAGATGGCAGTGAGAATGGAAAAAGACAGCAGTGAAGACACTGTTTAGCCCCTGCCAGGAACTTAGAAGGGGCTGAAGCAAGTGAGGGGCCCTGAAGTTTCGTTTCCTTCTTTGTCAATCCATGTTTGTTTAAAATATTTTCTTCTACTCTGGGTATTTGCCTGGGGAGAGTTATTCCTTCCATTCTTTCCTCCCTCCTTCCCTCTCTTTCTAACTGAAAAATTAACTCAGTGTATACCATATTCCAAACCCTATATTTGGAGGCGTAAGACACATATGATGATGTCTGAAGTACAGGATAAACTGATGGGTAACCAGCACTGCTAAAGATAAAATCCACTGGGTATCCAGATGGCACCCAAGAGTCATATTCAGCTGAGTAGCCAGGGAGTGCTTTATGAGGAAATGGCCTAATGAATGGCTGGGGTTGGGATTGATGATACAGGCAAGAGAAATGAGCCTTCCCGAGAGCTGATGCTGCTGACAGCAGCCCCTCTACAAGACATTTTCTGTACCTGTAACACCTAAAGTTTTGTTTAGTTTCATGCTGAAAACAAATGAACTGAAGGAAATGCCTGATTTGGTGCACTTAAGTGCTTTTGAAAGTGTCTTCCAAAGTTTGATGCCTTTTCAGTGTCCAAAGTTTAGAACATCTGATCACATCTCTGTTTTGGGATCTGATAAATAATTTCCATGACAGTATCTGAAGGAATTAAGCAAGTAGCTTTATCCACTTCACCAGAAACAGACTTCGGACAGCCCTTTCGCTAAAACCCATGTTTTAATCTAGCAACTGTGGATGAATGGAATTATGGAGACTCTTCTCTTCTCTCTCCGAGAGAAGACAGTCTAGACACTTTCTTCTTTCTGAGCTTCCCCTGGCCCAGAAGGAGAGTCCAGCATGTGTCCCACTTGTACATAATCAGACGCAAATGGTTTGCTCAGCATCACCCAGTGCAGCGTGGTGACAGAAACAGTGATA